AAATTATCTGATAATTATAATTCTTACAAGATGTGCAACGTTAATGCTTTCGGATCCATACATAAGTACCCATGCTCCAGCACAGAGATACTGGCGATGCTGAGGAAAACTGTGCTTTATGTAAGTCGTCACATATTCGGATTGAGTATTAGTAGAAAGAAGTTGATTACATTGATGGATCACAGTTGCTTCTGCCTGCATAATATAGAATCATATATATCCTGTCAACAAAACTATATTAATAATCTTTACCAGGGAGGCAGCAGTTGGCACACTGACACTGTCACCCACCCACGCTATTTTTATCATGATGCGCATCCAAATTATTTAGTATCAACATAATGAAAAAGGTTCTCTGAATAATTCATTTTCATTTATTTCATTTTCTTATAAATTTTCCTACAACAGATTTTTTTATCTGATCATTTCGCCATTTTTTTATCAACATTTTTTTTTTCTTTTTTGTATATTTTTCTAAGTCGAGTAATGATTTTTTGCTCAATTTCAACTTTTCAAATCCATAAAAAAAGACATTCTTTTCTTATCTTCTAATCAATCAATTCCATGAGCACATATCATACAGAAAGCACAGACTATGGGGTGCAAGCTAGGAATAAGTTACTGCATCTAATGGGGTCCACAGACCTGGGACAAGCATGTGTGAGGGCATGGTGCTTCTATGTGTGTGTGTGTGTGAGAGAGAGAGAGAGTGAGAGAGAGAGAGACAGAGCATAACCAAAACTTAACAAATGTATCAAATACCTGCTGCCATAATTGAATGGCCAAACCTCTCTTATCTACACGCCCAGCCAACGCCTCGCGCAAAATATTAGGGAAATAGCGGAGTGTTTTCTCAGACCATACATGTTGACTGGTGGCCAGTATCTGTTCCAACATTGTTTGGAGGTAAAACATATGTTCAACCTCTGCAATCCCACGAGTTTTGATGATGATGGCAAGATTAGTTACAGTTATTCGATTTAGTGTCTCAGTAAACTCAGTTGGGCCCTGACAAATACAACGGCAATGCAAGAGTAAATTCCATCACATATGCAAAGCATTTTATATTGAAATAAAATTTAAAAAAAAAAAAAAAAAAAAAACTAATCAGAAAATGTTCTCCACCTTTCCGTCCCTCTTTACATTAAAAAATTCTCTCATTGATAGTATTAGATTCATGCATAAATTTTCGGCCAGCCTAAAAGCACGATGGTCTCCATGCTTTCCCTTCAGTGTAGCAATAATTTTTGTGACATCATGAATTAACCCTTTGTTCTTTCCTTGGTACCTGGAAAAAGCATGAAGACAACAGAATTTATCACCATCTCAATAGACTGTAAACTGGAACAAGCCACAGCAAAAGCATTGGCCAAGAAAATAAATTGTTGATTATCCAATCTCAAATATTAAACAATCAAGTTTTTTGTGCTTCCAGAAGGGAATCCTACGTATATGTAGTTTCTAAAAACCACTAGATATTTTCTAAAACAAGCTAAATATGAGGGGCAGTGGTTTTCTCCATAGTCTATTAGGTGGTTCACGGGGTGTCTTTGCATTAAATTGGAAAATCACAAACATGGTAAGAGTCTATTTTAAAAGCAAGTTAGAAGTCACCAATTGTAAGTTCAGTTAAAACATCACAACTTAAAAGCGCCTTGTTCTTTCCCTACTTAAAATATGCTTTGTCTTTCCACACTATTGTTACTTTGTCCATTCCATAATTCAAGTTTCCAATCAAATTTGACCCTGTCACTTGGAAGTTACATTTATAGCGATGTAAATAAATGCAAAAAATAATAATAATAATAAAAAAAAAAAAAAAGAATAAGGTTCTCTACATCCATCTATCCAATCCTCTCACAAAACATGACAGCATAGCCCTTTATGTGGTAGTATTTTGACAACCATGATTGCAATTGTCCTGAACATGTTATCGTGGACTTGAATATTAGTCAAACTCTTCTCCTTTATTTACAAGTCAAGAACAACTAATTCCATTCACAGTTGTCCCCAATATCTTAGCTTGGAGCTAAAGACTATCCCTAAAAAAATTGTGGCACTGGAGCACTATTAACTAGCTTAATCTACGAGAGAGGGAGGGAGAGGGAGAGAGAGAAAAGAGAAAAAAAAAAACAACCAAAAACAAAAAATATAGTTCACCTGTAGAGTGATAGTAAACGGTAGTTAAGAATTTCAAAAACCAAAATCAAAGCAGCAGGTTTGCTCAGCGGATTTTGATTCCTCTGGGTCAGAAGCTGAAATTGAGATTGAAGATAAAGCAATTAAGTTTTTATATCAACAGAAAACAGTAAGTACAAGAAGAAAACATTGACCTCTAGCACATGCCTGGTACACCTGATGGATTAAACTAATCAAAGTAAAATGCAGGTCATGCTTAATAAACTATCACTAGAAGTGGTTATACGGATGACTAAAGATATCCAAAATGATCTTTGGAAACCAATCGATAGCAAGCCCAGAAGCAGAACCATAAGCAAAATGTACTTGCTAGTTCTCAAATTGAACTGCCGGTCTAACCAGCCTAAAACACAATTAGAACGTTGTTGTAGCCCACTACACTTACAAACTATGCTCATTTGCCCTATAGAGTCAATGTAGGACAACTCACGAGTAACATTCCAACATGTCCACTCACTTGGTGAGGTTCCATCCCAAACCAATTGGTGATGGGAGGAGTAGTCCACTAGACTTATAAACTAGGAACATTTTCACTATAGAATCTATGTGGGACAACTCACAAGTTATATTCCAACATGAATAAGATGAAAATTCCATTGTGCATGTGGATGATGCTATCCACTAAATTCAAAACCAAAGACCACTGTCAACTGAGATATTCGCTGCGACTGAAGATTGCATGTTGAAATAAAGACGTAATGACTAGAACAAAAGAAAGAACAGATCTTCTCGAGGAAACCATAAAGCTATATGGGCAACTTAAAGTGGTCCAAGAAAAGAGTCATTCTCAAAGGCTAGTGAGCAACCTAGAATAGAAATCTATGCTGATGCAAACTGCGATCTTGCTGTGTGTATTATACCTTTCCATTAATTAGGATAACTACAAAACAGAGTGGAGTTGCCATAACTACTGTTCGGGTAGAATAAGAAGTCAGGCCGATGGCCTAACATGAGATGAGTAGTGTTTGCAAAAGCTTGGGAGACCTTTAAACATACCTAAGAAACAATTATGTAATAATAAGGTTGCTTTCAGCAGTATTGCAAAAGCTCAACACGATATAACGGGCATGTCGAGATTGGTGCACTTACATAAATTAGAACCTTAATAGTGGATTATTTGGATAAGAGAGAATATGAATCAATAGATTAGAACATGACGTCAAGATGGTAGAGATTAATAAAATTTGGTTATTCATTTTCTTTCTCTTCTCAAAAAAGGGTTTCTTTTTTTTTTTATCCAAATGCTCTGTCTAAAGAGAAAGTAGAATCATCACAATGCAAGTAACTGATATCAATATAACAAGTTGATGGTTTTTTCTTAAACAAATAAATAAGTTACTTTATTACTTGCATAATTTTACCCACTGCCATGTATGCATCAACTTTCAAAAAAGAAGTAAAAGAACAGATCACGCTACTAGATTCACTGAAAAGCGTAAATATATAATTGTGGGTTTAACTAGAAAGGATTTAACACACAATGAAGGGGAAAGAACATAATACCGTCATGAGTGAACGGAACAATGCATGAGGAGCAATGAGCAAGACACGAACATAGGTTTCGACCATTGCAATGCTAGGCACAACCTGTTTCAAAAGTCATCACAGTCTAAATAAATGCATGTCATGACGCCATATACCAGTATGTCCTACTTAAATTGTTGGTCTAGAAAGACATATATAAAGAGCAGATAACCTAATGCAATGCTCGTTAAGGCACAAAAATTATCCATTTTCGAGAGAAGACTTATGGATGCTGTTGGTTAAAATTTTATTTTGAAATTTTTGGTTTGGTTAAAGAATATTGAGAAAAATGTTTCTGAAATATACATGATGACTTTTAAGTGAATATACATGAGATTGAATGCCAAAAGTTGATTTTATATGAAATAGTAAAATCATGATATGATAACATTGATAGTTAAAAGTAAGTGAGGTGAACAGCAAAATCTGTGGAAAAAATTTAAATAGTGATTTGATGATATTTTCTGAAAATTGTGCAGAAGTGATTGTTGGGAGGAAAAAATATGAGTGAATAAAATTAACTATTAAAATTATCAAAGCAAAAACTAATTTTCAAGAAAAGAGTTATTTAAAAAAAATCTTAGTTACCAAAACTATTCAGATATATATGCTTGGGTACGCTTGCACTATCATGTGCTTAACAATTGAAAATGAAGCAATTATTATTTCACCTGTCCTGAAAACATAGATTCTTCCATCTGATATGCCAGTTTCAAGCATAAATTTATGGAAAATCCAGATAACAAAGATATGGGCAATGGGCTAACTTCCTGCATCACCATGTATCTCTCATTCGACTGCATATTTGTTCCCGGTAACATCTCTGTTATTCCAGCAGATGTTAACCAATTCATGACTGTTTCACAAGCAGGTTGTGCCATGGTATACGATACCACCCAAAACATCCCAACAGATCTTTCGTCCATATTCATATAATTCATAATTCGTTCACCTGATATTTGAGACCAGCTTAAAACACTAAATGAAACAAACAAACACAAAAAAGGCACTCATAGAGCTACTATTCACCAAAATATACACACTAGTATGCAAGTAAAAAAGACTCAGCGTTCTAGGTTATATATGATCGATGGTTCTGTACTGCATAAATTTGGATTTAAGAATCAAATTTCAATTTCACTTTCTCTATTTGCAGAAACTCACCTAAAAAAAACCCGAGCAATTGCTCAGGATTACAATTTCTAGCTTTAAAGGTGGGGAAGGGAGGGGGTGTTAAGCGAGAACTTCCTTTAGAATTTTTCAATTGAGGATACTTTGTGAATGCACAATTTGATACAAGTCAAAGTCTTGAAGTGTTAACAGGCCAAGTGCACTTACAAGTTTAACTATAGAATGTCTAACTTTTGATTATTCTAATGACTAGGAAAAGACACGTTTGTTGCACGTGATAAAATGACTTTAATATATAAGATACCAATTACCACTATGGAGTTAAATACAAAAATTGTAAATCACTCATAATTTTTTTAGTAGAGAATGAAATAAAACATCATTTTTAGCAAACTATTTTAAATTTCTTAAGATAAAGAATGGCATAAAAATCATCATGTCTACTATTTCTCTATCCAATTGCTTTAACAAAATTCTTTAACAATAATTTATAAGTGTGCTCATTTTCCATTCTTATCATTTTTAACAGATCAACAATTATATGCACTGCTACATTAAATTGAACTTATATTTTCATGTCTATTATTATATTTATTTCATGCTGAGAAAATAAAGCAAATTGCCCTCAGGTACTTGCATCATTTCCAACAATGAAACTAAATTTGTGTGGAAAGTATTCCTAATATATTTAACAAATTATATTTTTCTAAATTTTCACGAACTATACATTGTGTATTACTCTGACACCAATTCTGGCATTGTCCTAACTTACTCTCAATTTGTTAACAATGTTTCATAAAAAAATGAACATTTAGGTTTTTGAACATGTGACTATTCTGAACTCTTATTTCTAACATTATTCCACGAATATTTGCACATTTAGGTTTGAATTCCACAAATAACATCATGCCAATCATTTGTGTTATATTCAATTTTAAAATATTACTATTATAATACATAATCATCTTAAAGATAGTACAATGTCAAAAAATCAATCAGTGTTATAATAATCAATTTAGATTTTTGGCTCATTAAGGGCTTAGAAAGTATGTTGTAATTGTTTCATGCGTAGTGGTTTTTAGGATAGTAAGGTTCATGTGACAATTCTGCATTGACACATGTTAACCCATTGGTTTGAGGTCATCCTCGAAATTAATAGGTCGAATTTTAACATATTTTCTAATAAGTTTATATATAATTATAGTTATTTGGTATTTATGTGATTTAAATTCCCTATTGATTAACTCAAAGTTACTTAAAAATGCAATATCCATATACTTTTAGGAAGATTTAATTTAATTGTTAAATATTCAAAATTTTAAGAAGTGTGACAATGTCATAATCAAATGTCCTAAATAAAATTAACTTAATAAAAATAACATGAACCAAGCCATCTATGCTTAGCTTGCATCAAAGCAACTTTTGTTGTGGTGAGATTTGAGTTTTCATACTCCAATTTTGTAAAAGACCACAAAAATGACACACAATCATTATTTGATATCTCTCAGTAAAATATTAATGTCATGAATTAGCAAAAAAAATTTACCGCATCCTACGTGCAGTTTACTAGAAACAGTCAAAAGTCATTTTGTATAAGATATCAAAATCATTTTTATTGTATACTAGTGTTGCCATTACAATCATGCTCAATATAGAAAATTTGTTGGCAGCTCAATGTTTTTACTAATGCATCAGGCCCTATAAAAGTTAAGGAAAAGATGCAGCTATCATGGATTTTTGTAAAAATACAAAACAGCATTTCTAAATTGCCATTACCAAACCTGCTTTTGTTTGACTTGTGCCCACTAGAACAACTCCTACTTAGGTGTGACCCAGGCCATGTAATTGAACCAGATGGCAAATTATGAAAAATCTTAAAAGGCAATACTACTGAGGTAAAGTTTGTTACCAAACTCAGGGACGAATTACCTTTGCTAACCTGCCTCCACCATTCATCTATTTGCTTCCCCTTTTGAAGTTGCTCGTGATTCAGATATTCTCTGGTTGATGTGTTCAGTGACCAAATTCTTAAATTCTGACAACTGCTAATGAAATCCAGCAAGATACTTTGGGAATTATTAGGGTCAGAACCTCTATCTTCTTTATGGAATGAAAGGATTTTTCTGGTCGTCTCCACCTACAACAAAATGAAAAGTAACCAAATCATCATTACTTTATTGGATAATAAACAGGTATATTGACAAGAGAGCTCAAACTAAATGCATTTCAGATTTCAGAATCTCTTCTTTTGTTCATCTTCACAATAGGTAGGTCAGATAAAACATTGATCGGCTATATTAACACTAATTTCTCAGGTGTGTTGGACGATTTCTGGGTGATGTACGTTTCACAGTTTCGACAGGCCAATTGCAGGGATAATGCAATTGCCGATGCACTTGCCACCTCTCGCCATGGCGGCGCCATTTAAAACTAGGATAATTACTTTGGGACATCAATTAATGTATCTGCCCCTGCAATTCCTGTCTAAAACTGAAGACAAAGCTTTGGCACAAGGAGGTGTAATACCCATATATATCCACAACATAAAAAAACTAGGATTCAGTTTGGGCTCAAAGGTACTGGCCAGCGTGAGCAGCCATTGCATGAGAATGGGAGAGTCCAGAAAAGTCTATTGAAGAATGAAGCCTGAAAGTACACATTCGAAGCTTAGATGACACACATTCTTCATAAAGCTAGCAGAGTAGTTGATGCTATTGCAAAATGGCATCGACCGGGTGATTCTTTGCAACTTTATATAATCTCTCTCTCTCTCTCTCTCTCTCTCTCTCTCTCTCTCTCTCACACACACACACACAAAGAAGAAGAAGAAGAAGTTTAAAAACTATTTATCATTAAATGAAATTATATTTCAACTACTAGGTTGGGGTTTTTTGCCTAAATCTACCACACTTGGAGTATTTTTGGAAACAACAAAGGAAAATGAAAGAAAAGAGTGAAATTAAATGCAATAGAGAAGATGTTTATCAGGAAACAAGGAAAAGAAAATACTCTAGAGTGAGTGAACTGAAATTCAAAATGAAGCTGTAAACTTTAAACTATATGAACCATAAATTGTGAACGTAAGTATTGGAGTAGATATCATTACCACAAAACAGAGATACACTACCTTTCTCGAGTCTGAATTTAGAGCATTCATGACAAGCTCAACACGAATAATTTGTGCTAGCAACCATGTAACGTGATTTGTCCTCAGAATATGTTGATCACCACCACCTTGGAGTCGAGAAACTAGCTTGTCGACAAAATCAACAAAATCAATGCATCCATGTTTCATGAGGAAAAAGAACACATCTGAAAAGATAAGCCACTCCTGCCAACAGTTTGCTTCTGCAAGTTAAACAGAAAATCAATTTTAGACCATTTTACTAAAAGAAATAACAATACAGTGCCTCAGCTTGCAGAAAAGTTAAATTTAGTTCGGACAAGAAGCATCCTAGAGGAGTCATAAATGCTTCAAAATGAAGATTCATGCAGAATATATAGGTGACTGAAATAACCGAAAAAAGAGGTGCATAAGTTAAAACCAGAAATCCAAAAGAGAGACTATAAAAGATTATGGTTCTTGCCTGAATTTGTTAACTTGAGTAATTCCACTATCCTATCTATTGTTGCTTCACTAATCATTTCAGAGGTAAACACAGCCCCTGGGGTAGGTCCCTGTGTATTAAGCCTATGGCATGGTGCCAAAAGCAGCACACGTCTCCACCAGTCGGGAGATGGGGTGTTGCGGAAAGCATGTCTCAGACATCTCAGAGCTCGTTTCCAGTCAAGACTCTCTCTCTGAATTGATGCCGCAAGTTCCTGACAAGAAGATAGAAAAAGGCAGGATTTATGGACTAAAGTAATACACATGTAAAATTTCTACTTCTAAAGGTTAGTGAAAAGGGGAAAATTAAGTTATTATAAAAGAAAACCCAACCTTCTTGTAATATCCACAAAAGCTAACAGATACAAAAAAAAAGGCTCTTAAATAGAATCATGTCAGTAACTCTATGTCATATTTTTTATCCCTCCCTTGATATTAAAACACTTTGATTTCTTAACTTCACTCGAATGAAATAAAGGACTAGCTTTCCAAAGAAATCAAACTATTAATAGATAACATTACCTCTCCATGCAGAGGCTCTCCAAGCACACTAGGATACGTGATGGGAGAATATCTCATGTTAGTCACTGTTTCGCCAGATATGTTAGCAGGGGCCTGAGGCAAAAGTCGGGGGGTTCCAAACGTAGGGCAGTGAAGGTGTGCATCTAACATCTGCATATGGGTCGCCATCACATCTCTCCTTCTGTGAATCTCTAAGATAAGGGTGAACAGCGCCTCATCATCCGGTATATTCTCAATAAACTGCAATCCACTACGTATCAGCTCATAGAAGGGCACACGGCATTTATGATCCTCGACCAAAAGCCAAATCACGTCTAACGAGTTGTGCAGCCACTCGACGAGAGCCTTGTCTGGTCTCCAGGATTTCGCACTGTCGAACTCATCGACACCCTGCAGTTTCTGATCCCAATTAACGAGCCAATTCAACATGTGGTTAAAGATATCCGCGCGCGTGACAGGCATAAGATCAGATTCGAGGCTGATCAAAATAATCTTGCAGGACAGCTGGCGTAGACTGCTTAAGGCATTTTCTCTCGCGAAGAAGGTGGACTTAGCTGACTGTTGACCGTTGATATCAGTGGATTTCATTGGAGACGATTTGGCACCAGATGACGGCTCAGGCACTGACTGTATGGGGGATCCAACACCATGAACCGAAGGCAAAGGTGAAGCGGAACTTGATAGCTGAAAATTAGTGGAATTGGGAACGGCATTTGACTGGGATGAGGTGCCTGAAGTAGTAGTAGCAGCTGCTGTTTGACTGCCCTGACCAACACTGGGGGCCTCGGCAGAGGAAACAGAAGAAAGAAGAGAAGGCAAGAAGGTATCCCAGTTTATGCATGCAATATTGCACAGACTACGTAGAGCAAAGAGCAAGAACTCTGCTCTGGGAGCATGACCACAGCATTGGATAACTAGAGATATCAAAACAGATTCTGTTACAGCACGTAGTTGCTCCTGGTCCTGGAAAATATAAGAAGAGCAAATTCACTATACATTAAATTATATGAGTCCCAACCAAAGATCTGAAAACGAGAAGAAGAAGAACAAGAAATTTGAAGTTATCAACTGTTCACCTAAAAGCTTACAGGAAACTGACGCTGTATCTGCTCAAAATCATGTAGGAACTGCTCATTAGGGGGAGGAAGGTCTCTGTTAATAGCAGTAACCCGCTTCTGTGTCTTGTTTCTGTAATTTACTTAAACATGAGGTTCCAATAAATATAATATCAAATTAAGCACAACTGCACAAGTCCGGTTTTTTCCTAATAACATATAAAATCCCAAAAAAAAACAAATGGAAAATTCAATGCAACAATTTCTTCCTATGTTCTTGAGAGGGAGTTCAAGAATTTCACATCTAACAAGACATAAATGATATTCTTTGATCAACTAGTATTAGGGCCAATGAGATATACAAGAACAGGGTAAATGGCAAACTCACCCTATTGACAAGCAAGTAAATCACAAAGCCTGCTACCATAGTATAAAAAACTAAAATTTAGTTTTTTTATAGACAAAAAGTTAAACTTGCTATATCTCAAGAATATATATTTGCAAGTATTTTACTATAATTAAAAAACGCATAATTTCCGTAAGAATATTCAGCCTATTAGCAACGTTTTAAAGTCGTTCTGAGGGAGTGATTTAGCCACAAGCCATCTGGATCCCAAACAAACACTAACTAAAACATCCTTGTCTGAAATTAACCAGAGAAGATATTGTAACAGAAAGAACAATTATTGAATTCCAGAATCCAAATACTATACATGAAAGATTGCTCTAGCAAGTGTTCATACTACTTGCTGCTCTGAGTGACATATATGCAAAATAAAAAGGGTAAGGACTCACGGTGGTTCTTTAACTGAATCGTCCGATTTCTGGCGCACGGTCCTCTGCAAACACGAAGAAAATTGGATCACTCGGAA